ATCCCTCTATTAAAAAAAAAAAAAAAAAAAAAAAAAAACATGCTTTTATGTACTGGCAAGGGGTTTTTAAAGCCAGCCATGCAAGCCGCGTGCTTCTGGACCTCCACGAAGAATCACGGCGGGAGTACCAGCCCCGATGACAGTAATTGAAGCCTCGTAACCCAGTAACCCATCGCTGGAAGAACAGAGGGTGGTGAGATTGCACCCTTTATCCGGACCTGCAAAATGCTGTTTTCACCATCTCTTTGTGCTTTGGAGTCTTTAGCATAGGAATTATTTCAAGCTCCCAATTGGATTTTTAGCTGGGTAAGAGATAGTACCGATTAGTGACATTTGCTGATAAGATTCAGTAGCTAAAGTGATAGGATTAAATAAGGACCAAATTAAGCAGCAGCAAGTAATTTAGCCCACAGATTTTTAGGGGCTCTGAGCAACTGTCTGTTTTCTTTTTAATTTCCCTGGTAAGTGGTTCTGGTTTTTTGGTTTGTTTTTTTTTCTGTGTACCTTCTTTTAATTAAAAAGAATTCAACAACAGCGGCACTATGAGGCCTCTGGGCACTACACAAAGAAACGTTAATTCCTCGAAGACCAGATCTGCAGTTTTGCAGCAAAGGTTAAAAGGTGGCAGCCCTGAAATTGGGGAGAAAAAAAAAATAAATGGTTAGCCTGAATTGCAAACGGGCTCGAGTAGAGAAAAAGCTTTCTAGAAACGGATTGAGTTTTACTTTGTGTTCTGCTTTTCTGTTTTGCAATCAAGGCACATGTGAGTAGCCAGTCTGGTAGTAAAGACAGATTAAGTAAAACAGGTTTTACTGTTTAGCTCAATTCAATTAAACACAAATGTACATAAAATGTTAATCATATGAGATTAACATATTTAAGTATAACACAGAGGGGTATATACATAGCTATTCTATACAAGCACTTGACTACCAACTTAACCCCTCCTTTACTTTTTTATTTTTCAAGGCTCCATCTGACATAAAGCCACAATCGCGTTCGTAGTCTCCGTGCCTGACGCTCCCTCTGCTGAGCCAGGAGCTGGTGGCAGGCTCCAGGCCCCAGGCCGCGCTGGAAGGCAGGGTTTATTTTTAAATGATATTATATGCAGTCGAGTGTTGAAAATGTTGAAACAGTCCCATTTGTTTTCACTCTGTATTAGTTTTAGTTTCAGGCATAGCCGATCCCCATTCAGGTGCTATCAGATGACCAGTTACTGCTTAGTTAACTAGATGTAAAGTTTTACATATATATTAATGTCAATAGTTTTATTACAAGTTGTGTAAAATGGACTCTCTAGTTTAAAAAAAAGAAAAAAAAAGGAAGAAAAAAATTAGGTCTCTCCTGAAATGGACTTTAGAGCATGGAAAATGATTTTACTGGATTCTGTTCAACTGTAATCAAGGAAAAAATATGTATGTTGTAGAAAAAGTTGCAGAATTAAAAAAGATCTGCTTTTAATTTATTCTTTTTGTATTAAGAATTTGTATAGTTACCTTTACATTTTGCAAAACAGTGTTGTCAACACTTCCTTATTAAAGCATTTTCAAAATGAAACCTTGCAGTGGTCTTGTCAGGAGGGCACAGCGCCTGGGGATCCCTTGCCATGGTGACCGCACCACCCCCTCCACCAGATGCTGGGTCCAGATGTGCACACAGCTGGCCAGGGGTTCCAGGAGGGACCCACTCCTTTGCTGCGGGGGGCCTGCTGGCAGGAAAGGAAAAGCCCATCCCTTAGAGATCCCCTGGGGTTCAGTGCTCACGCCCAGCAGAGCTGCTTCCCCTTCCTTCCATGTATTCCCGCTCTCCGGGGAGCTCCTTTCCGCCTGATCTCCCCCACGCCGCAGGGAGCCGCCGGCCGCTCCAACCCGCAGCCGGGAGGCCGCCCTGACCGCCACCCAGCATCGCTGCGTCGGCACCCATCTTGTGTACTAAATCCCCAGAAGAGCTGGTGATAGGACAAAACTGGCAACAATGAAATTTTCCAGACATGCCCCTAACTCCGGGACCTCGGCTCAGACGTCTGGCCAGCGGCTGCAATACCGCTGCGGCCCCGCAGCGCGTCAGGTGCAGCTTTCCCGACAGCCTGCACCAGCTCTAGTCGAGGGCACCGCATCATGAACTCGTCCCCCGCGCCCGGGAGCCGGACCCTCTCCTCCCCCCGAGAAGTGAAGCCATTTGAATCTCAGCCAGGTTCATTCTTTGGGCAAGACTGGATCTCGAACGGAGATCACAGGGCGGCTGAGCAGGGGAGGAACCCACTTCCTCCATCAAAATAAACTGATCCCGCACACACTGACCCCGAGAGCCTTTCAGCAGTACAGACACATAGCAAATAAGGAATTAAAAGGCATGTAACTACCACTGGACTCGGCGATACCGATACACGACAGGTATCACACACTCCGAGAGTACCACCTCGCACAGTCCCTTCCACCGCCACGCTAGGGAAGACGTGAGGGGCTGCGACAAACGACCAGGGGTACTAAAGTCCCAAAACCACTCCAGACATCGCTACGACGAATGTGTGACTTCATCCTAAAGCTTCAAATCTTTGCATTCAGCAGGGTTATTTCCTCCTAATGTAAGAATTATCAGAAATAAACATCTGGAGAAGCCCACAGGGAAAAGTCTAAATCACTAAACTGAAACATACCCTCCTCACAAAAAACTGTCAAGCAGTGTGACAGCTGCACCACACCCACTCGTCCCTAAACTAGACTCGGGTGGGTTTTAGAATTTTTTGGCTAAAAGGCATTATTAACTATTTGATCGGGGTCTGGTAGCTGTAATTTAGGGCCATCCAGCTGCAAAGAGCCTCCAACCGATGATGAAAAGCAGCTGCCGTAACAGTGTCCCCGCCGCCTGCAGTCCCCCGAGGACCAAAGCTGGCTCTCACGTGCCGGACAGCTGGAAACTCTTACAGATACGCCGTGAGAAAGTACTTTCCAGTTCCTCAGTTCCCCGTGCAGCGCCATTCCATGCATTGCAAGGGGATAAAGTTCTTCCGTCATGGGATTTATTCAAGCAAGGCGGCTGTATTTCAGGGACTGTCAGCAAGGAGGCACATCGCTTAAATTACATTCTTTAAAACCTGATCAGACTAAAACATTCCAACCCCAAATTCACATCCCTACAGGAGGCGCATCCCCCTTCAAACCGCTGCTCAGGGTACCATTAGAACTCTCCTCAATTATTAGTTCTAAAGCAGGAGGGAAAAATCTAATACTATTACAGATGCCCTAAGGAATCCAGTTCCCTCTAAAGCAGATGTTACAACACTCCTTAAACCATCCCCTGGCTACTCACTCACTGCACTTTCCAGGGAAATTACAGATCTTCTAAATGAGGGACAATATTGTCCCTCAATTATCTAAAGAGTTCAAAACTAAGGTCAGGATGAAGATTCAGAAACAGCTCAGGAAATCATCTGGATGGGGAGAGGGATAACGTTGCAGTGTTATAAATGTTTCCTGTTGTAATAACGCCTCCAAAGAATCTCTCTATAGAGCACTGCAAAAAAATCACCAGACACGACAGTTAATGAAACTCTTCCAGGCTCTTGACATCTGCCCAGCTTCTCCCCACAAATCCCCCTGTTCCCCAAGCGCCTGTTCGGTCTCGTCAGCCTCTTTTTTATTACTTCTAAATGGTTTAGGCTCTTGACATTTTCTCTGGGGTCAGACACTCCAGGCTGAAAAACTCCTGTGTCCAAAGAGGCACTTGAGCATACAGAGAGGCTGCAGGAGAACCTGAAGTTCCTCAAGATATTCCTCCAGACTCACAGCAAAAATCTCACTGGCACGGGACGCAGTGAATACCCCTGGGAGACGGGTAACTCCTTCAGAAGAGGGCACCTGATCCTGCTCCATGCTTCCAGTCCAGATGAGGACTCGGACAAACCAATACCCCGAGTGTTAACAAGTTTCTTCAGGAAGCAGTTCTGCTCACGCTGTACCAGGCCTACCGCTGTGGCAGCAAAACCACAGCCCGAGTGCCAGATGCACCAGAAGACCTGCCGCCTGACAGGAGGGGCAGCCAGATTCCAAATTCAAATACCCGCCTGAATCCAGTCCCAGGCAGCCAGGACCAGACCCTCCCCTCTCTGCTGACTGCGCCGAAAAGGCTTCTCCACAGACAGGAACGGGCTCTGTGTGGGCTCCACTGGATCTGTGGGGCCCAGACAGATGCGAGGTCTGGGCTCCCGCAGGTGAGGCAGTTACTAGCAGCCACTGCAGTGATCAACGATGTGCTCTGAGCATCACTGTAGGTCTGAGAAAGGTGTCCTGAAGAGAAGGATGTGTTAACACTGCTGCAGAGGTACTGCTGTTCTGGTGATTAAAAAGAGCGCACGGTTTCAGCCTAGGACTTTCAACCTACGCCATTAACAAAGTTTGAACATTTCACTGTTTATGCAGAATTAGACCTCACGTTTCTGTGAGGTTCTTTGCCATTCCCAGTCAAGATGCACAATGGTAAAGATTTGTGGCTGCTAGAAATACTGTACGTTGTCATGGGAGGTCCTAATTATTTTCTCTGCAATGCCCAGCAGACTGACATTTTCTCCAGATGTATAAAAATGGGATTTGAAAGACTCAAGAGCCATCAGATTACTTCCCCCAAGCCCAGAAGGTTTATATTATGTCGTTAGTGAAAAAAAAAAAGAACAGATCAGATGCATTCAAGATCAAAAACTCTTTGCACTGAGACTGGCTGTATTTTTCAGCTGAGAAATATATAAACCCTTTTTTTTTTTCCCCACCTCCACATAAATACCACATGAAAGATTAGCCATTAGAAGTCTTCATATTTACAGAAATAACCAAAATTCAGATTCAACTGCTTCCCTCTAATCATCTCCCCACATCAGTCTCCAAAGGGAAAGCAGCCAAAAAACTCTACATACACTCCTTGCAGGGCCAAGTCTCACCTAAAGCTCCAACATACGGGAAGCAGCTCGGTCTGGATGCTTCCCTGAATAGTAAATTGAAATAAAAGCGAGGGTCATGTTCATTGTCCCCTGATCACTGTCCTGGTCATACCTCCCTCAAAACCCACCCCCCTCCGCTGTATATTGGATGTGTTCAGCGTAAAGCATAGATTTAAAAAGAAATCTAAATAAATGGGTCTTGTAAAAAGGAAGCTGTAGAAAACCTGCTGCTTTATGCTTTTTCGCAAAGCCCTCCCTAGGTTGCTGGTGGTGTTAAAAGCACAAACTCTGTCTCTTCAGTCCTCTCTGGGTCTTGGAGATCAAAATATGAGTCACGCCTTGGACACTGCAGAGTCTCATAAAGCATTGTACTCCACACATTTTGATGGGTCTGTTGGGAAGTGTTTCTGGCAAATGGTCATGAGCCTCTTCAGCCCCTAGGAATTAACAAAACAGGGACAATTCTGTAATAAAACTGCAGCTGTCAAACAAACTTAACAGTCTACAATATTTTTAAGCTTAACAAGAAGAATTCAAGACAAATGGATGCTATTTTGGAGGGGTTTTCTTTATTTGGTTGTTTTTCCATTTTTTAAGTTTCATGGACCTCTCCGCCTGCAAAGTGCCAAGTTATGTCCAATATTAGAGGAGTCTGTGGCAAAGTGAAGACACCACAGATTCAGTCTCTCATGACAGATTCATACTGAAGGATCACAGTAATGCTTTAATCCCTCTTCACCACGATGGGAGAAAACAATACTATGACAATAAAAGATATTTAAAAGAAACCTGATTATTAACAGTAATTTTATAGAGCAAAAAGCAATTTCTGACACCAAAACAAGCTGCACAGCTACGAGAAGAACCAGACAATTTCCCCGGAGGAAAGATGCCACTCCTACCCATAGTGGCACCACACCTGACTACACCATGGAGGCAAACTGAAGAAGTAAGCAAGAAGAAAGGCAGAATGTCAACTTTTCTCCTCAGTGCTTTCAAGGCATTGATTGCCAAAAAAAAACCGCGATAAAAACCCTATGATTATTTTGTTTCAGGTCACACATAAAAGTCTAACAAAGAAGAAAGAAAACTGCTGTGGCAGTAACATAATTTAGCAGTGACATTGGACTTCAAGACAGCAGAGTCATTAGACACTCACAATGGAAGACAGCTCCTCACTGAAGGGAAAAGTGATTCAGCAGAGGATGTTTTGGCCTTTTCAATGCAGGCAAGTCTGGAAAACATGTCCTAGCACCATAATGACTCCTTGTTTGGGATGTTACAATCCCAGGTTCGTTGTAAATCAGAAACATGTTAGCTTGGTGTAAGTGCTGGGACCACAGATAATATTCCATGCTCCAGGTTGAACCAGACTAGCTAAACAAGACCCGATATTTAAAACTAACACAGAGAACATACATGTTTAAAGCCAGCTTTGTCTGGGTGCTTCAGTAGGTTGTGTAGTTCAGAAGCACAGATATGAAATTCACAGTGGGAAGATGAACACGAAGATTTCCTTGACCAACAGATGTAACCCCAAAAGCAGGTAAGTGAACCTCAGCAGGTTCAACAACGCCAAGTACAGGGTGCTGCATCTGGGTTGGGGCAACCCCTGGTATCAGTACAGGCTGGGGAGTGACAGGACAAGGGGTAATGGTTTTGAACAAAAGAGGGCAGATTTCGACTAGATAGAAGGAAGAAATTTTTCACAAC